TAATAAATTATCTGTGTGCATGATGAAATAAAATATTATAAATAAACACCTTTTAATTTTAGCTTTACAAGAAATATGGTAAACGCATGGATAATCTTCCTTTTTTGTTATCAATTGTCACATAACTACTGCATTTAGCAGAACTTACAACTGTAGGAAAATTATATGGTTGGAGATAATTAACACTAGCCTTTCTAGCAGTATTTCAATTGTTATATTTATAAAAGTTTCTTTGCATTTTTCTTTAATGCGAACCTCCCTGGATTTCAAATTTAAAAAATCCTCTATCAACCTCCTGCTAATATAACAAACACAAACATGATATGGTTCAATAGAGAAAAATACCGGGAAAAAAACAGTTTCTCAAGACTGCCTTGAAACTTCTCTGTTTTTACATACTTGCATGCTTGAAATTTATTTTTTCAGTATAGCTTTTATAGAGCCTATACTTGTGCAAGATGTATGGAAATTCCAAGTTTTGTAGTAAGAAAGGCTGAGTTAATTTGAAGTTCCTCTGTTGACAGGAGAGCTCCTTAATAAACCTTGTAGAAAGTTTTTAAAAATAATAAAACCACATTGTTCTTCAGACTGGGTGTTTAATAGTGTATGACAAGCCTAGGCTAGGTAATATCCTGGCGCATCATTGTGTATTTTTCTCTCATTCTTATATAGACTATCCTTTTGTTAGAGAAGACCTTTTTGTTCCTGTGTGCATCAGCAATGACTGCCAACCCATGAGTCCTTTTTTTAAAGCTCAGCAGAGGTTATCTTGTTTTGATTAAGAAAAGCAATGCTTGCTATTTAAAAGATTATCTGCTTCAGCTGTTTATCAGCAGGATAAGCAAAGCTGTCAATTTCAGCTTTAGACAACTTGCAAATGAATTCCTCATTTTCCTCTGGTAGTTTTAGCATTAACTTGATATGGTGGAGCACAAAGCATTTACTGCAGCACTTCTGATTTTAGTGAGGATTGTGTCCTGCCTTAGCTGTAAAATATACTACTGTGATTTTGGCCTCAATGTGGTTCCATTCTGCATGTTAATCTAAGGACCTGGCCTTGATTCGAAGTGCAGAAGGATGTGATCTGTTTCCTGAAGAACATAAGCTGACAACACAAAGATGGAGGACTTGTATATGAGACTGGATGGGGAGGTTTACAGGAGAATCAGAGAAGTGCAGATCAGTTCCTGGAGTGAAAAATGCTGAAAGTCTTAGGCACTACAAAAATACATACAAAAAGGTAGTCCAGGGAAAGCACTAGTTGAGTACAGGCAAATAGAAAAAGGAGTAGACTTCTGTGCAGGGGGTAAATTATGGAGGGTGGTAAAGCTGAGAATAAGAATCTTGGATTTTCTGTGATAAAGCACTGAAGACTGGAATGAGGAAAGATAAAAAATCTGAATCTGGAGAGGTAAAATATGCCAACAACCAAGACTTGCAAAGATGTGAATTATGGATGAAATAAATATAGATGTAGGAATAGTTGACAGAAATAAGTTATATTGCTACTTCTTCAGTATTTATATTCGTACTTTAGCCATTAGCTGTGAGCCTCCACATTTCTGTTTGGCCTGAGTGCCTCTCCTTGGGTATCAGCTGCACTCTTGCTGTAGCAGCCTTTTCCATGGACTCTTACATTACCGGGAGATTTCACATAAAGTTCTTCCAATTTAATGAAGAATTGAGAAATGTTAGTTTGAATTTCAGGGGGTTTTGAGCCAGGAAGTGTTTTATTTATTTTCTATCTTTTTCCAAATTCAGCAATACCAGTGGCTGATCTTGAATTATCTTGGCTTAGCTTCCATGGATGGATTTTCTTTTTGATAGCTTGAAGCTGGGTTGTGAAGCTTTTGTTACAGAAGATGATGGTTTCATTAAATGGGGTTTCATTAAAAGCTTTCAAAATCCATGTGTTAGCTTTCTGCTGAACTTGATCAATGGACAGTCAGTCTAGTGAAATCAAGTCTTAGTAAGCCATTCCTAGTAGTTTCTGACAGTACAGATATACACTTTGGAGCCACCATCTTACCTCTGGTCACTTGGGTGTGTTGAGCTTTGTTCTTGGATGTGAGAGGTTGTACTAAGTGGAGCCTGAAGGGTGATTATACTTGGGCAAGGCAGTGTGCAAGGGATCGTGGTCAGTGCTCTAGCCTATTGCAGTCTCAACCTTTGTCAGATTTTGAGGCCTTTGAGCAAAGCTGGAGTTGTGAGACAATGTGGAAAGTGTGAATGTGAGTGGGCTTTGTAGTTGGTATTGTAATGGTAAATTATTTAGAATGCACATCTGAATCTTGTCAGCAAGCAGTGCATCGGGAAACAGCTCATCTTCATTCACATATTGTCTCTCTTCCATCAGTCCCTGCTTGAATAGGCACTCCTTACAGAGATATGCCTTCCTTTCCTGCAGTATTGATGGATATAAGGTGTTTATAACTGTAGTTATCAAATAATGTTGAATTTGCACAGCACCAGCATTGCTGTGGCATTGCATTGTCAGTGGTACTTGTTGTCTCCTGCATTACACGATCCCCTGCAGCTGAGCTATGACCTAAGCTGTCTGGTCCAGCTGTCCTTTCCTGACCTCAGTGCCTGCTCCAGAGATCAGACACTGCTTGCAGCTACAACTTTTTACCAATTGAGGTGTGTTAGTTGCGTTCTGGAAGTGCATCTTCTCATGCAGTTTTGTCCAAACATTTTTGGACATAATAATCCACTTTATTTGCTCTAAGACTTTAAAGCACAGTACATGAGAATATTTGGGAGCTTTAAGACCTTTTTCTTATGAAAGCTTTCAGAATTGTTCTATGCAGACTGAAGTAGGAAACAGAATTGGAGTCTCATGTAGAATCAAAGTAAAGGAAGGAAGCCCAGAAGCTCACTGCACTTCACCTGCCACCCAAACCAGCATTGACTTCTCAGTGTGGGGTTCTTAACATTTTTCCTCATGGTCTTTCTTGCAGGAGTTTCAGTGTTAAAGATTTCTTGATAGCTACAATATTGTACAGCAATTCTTCAGTATCATTGAAGTTACACATTCCCCACTATGTAATCAATATACTGCTTGTTGCAAATTAAGACAATTATAGTTCTTTGCTTGACAGTCTAGATATAGAAACAATTTGTCTTTGCTCTTTCTGAAGCCCAAAGACTTTATTTAGGGCTACTGTAATTCATCTTTTGACTTTTAGTAGAATATATTAAGAAAAGGCAAATCTGTCTTTTTAACTTTATTTAGGGCTACTGTAATTCATTGGTTGACTTCTAGTAGAATATATTTAGAAAAGGCAATTTTCTGTCTTTTTAACTTCCAACTGATTAATAATAGAGTTTGTATAAAATGAATGTAACAGGGGAAACTTCATGTAGCTTATTTTATGTTTATTATAAGAGGCTGAATTGTAATCAGTCATTATGAAATTGATTTTTTTTTTAGAGAACAGAAAGGATATTTGCTCTGTGTATGAAATGAGAGTTTATCTGTATCTATATCTCTGTCTCTATAAAATCAGTAAAATATAGATCTAGGATGTACCTCCATTATGACTGGAAAAATCTCTGAAGATACTTTGTGAAAAAATACAAATATATAAACTCCTTTTTCTGGGAATGAGGAAAGTTCTAACTTACATTTTTAGGGAAAATACCTATGACTGTTTATACAATTAAGTAATTCTTGAAACATTATTCAAAGAACCCATTCTAAAGTTATCTAGTAAGAAGACCCATACTCACTGTTTTGGAATCATTGTGTTGATGTTTCATGCTTCCCACACAGTCTTAAAAAGCTTGGCTTCTTCCTTCTTAGGAAAAGTTTTGTTTTTCAAGGGACATACTGCTAGGATATTATAAAACTACCATGAATGTTTTGTAATAATGGATAAAACATGCATGCTCCCAAATATATGCATTTTCCAAGAGGGATGAGAAATGTTTTGTAAATTTGGACATTTGGTTTCACGATGCAGTGATCTCAGATAAAATTTATCTCACAGCAAGATGAATATGAAGAAAAATGCTGACCCACATGGGTTTTATATGATCATTACAGAATGAAACAGAGCAGAATAGAATAGAAGCCCCAACCCTGGCAGTGTTCACAGCCAGGCTGGAGGAAGCCTTGAGCAACCTGGTCTGGTGGGAGGTGTCCCTGCCCAGGGCAGGGGGTTGGGACTTGTTGATCTGTAAGGTCCATTCCAACCCCTAAAATTCTGTGATTCTTTCTGGGCTTCTGCAGAGCAGGTTCTGTTTAGCCTATTCATCAAATTCTGTGATCTTCTGCTTTCCAAATGGCTGTTGTATTGCTTAAACCATCTGAAGGAGCCTTTCCCTCAGGCACCACCTGCCTTTTTTACCATGTCATCCCTAGTATTTGCATCATGTCCCTATGTAGAGGATTGGACTGAGATAACTCAAGGACCATCTGTATTTCGTCTGGAGGTTCTTGACTGAATGCTGCCTTCCCTCCTGCCATCTGAAGAATGGCAATCTGAGTCAAATGAGTGTTGAGAACTAGATGATCACCAAGGTCCATTCCAACCCCTAAAATTCTATCATGATATGATTCTCTACTATTTCTGGTGGCAGTAGAGTCTCAGTGGAGTAGAGTCAAGGCCTCAAACTGCTTAGCATAGTAGCTCTAATGTGGAGGCAAAGCAGAGGCACAGTCTGTCCAGATGACCCTTTTGAAGTTTTGGCAAGGCTGCAGGTGCCTGAAGCAGGTCTTTGGATCTCTCAGGAAGCATGTTTTGGCTGAATAATCTCAGAAGTCCTAGTTGCCAGCTATCTAGCTACTACCAGATATAGAGACATGCAGAAATCCACAAATAAATGAACATACTAGGTTGTTTAAGTATAACGAAAGTAGTTAGGACATAGTGTATTGCTTAATAAATGAATGAACAGTTTAACCAAACCAAAATAACAAGTTGTCTTGGTTTTGCACAGCACAGTCCAAGAGCAAAAGGCAAAACCTAATAAATCTTGTGTTTGTTTTGTTGTAGAACGTCAAGCGTGTACATCTATGGCTGGTTCCAGCATCCTTCCCTCCAACGTGGCTGGGATCAGCAAAGAGCTGATCGAACTGCAGCACCTCATCCAGTTCCCAGAGGAGGTTGCCAGCATTCTGACTGAGCAGGAGCAGGAGCTCTACAGGAAAGTCTTACCCATTGACTACCTCTGCTTTTTAACCAGGGATTTGGGTAATGCTGAATGTCAAAGCAAGCTGCCATCTATTAAAGCTTCCATATCTGCTAGCATTCTTTCTTCTCCCAATGGTGAACATAATGCTGTAGGAGACCTTGTGACAAGGTTTAATGAGGTAAGAAAACACTTTCAAAGTACTTTTCATAAGGGTTATTACCTGATGTGTTCCTTTACCTCTCAGAACTGAATTTAGCTGTAATGACAAATTTTTAAAATAGAAGTTAAGATAACCAGGGATTTTAGCTAAATAACTTTCACTGAATTTAGTAGGAGTTATGTGACCAATCAGCTCAGTGAGCTTGGAAAATGGCAACCTAACGTTTTCTTGCACATTGTAAAGCAAACAGGAAGAAAAAGATTACAGACTGCTAATTCTTTGTATTTATATTGACAGTATGGGGTGCACTTTCGATCAGTTTATTATTGTGTTCAGGAGCTGGAGTTCTATTTATTTGTTTTGGATTTTTGAAGACTTAGCATGATCTGAGGAGTCAGCACAGAAGTATCATAAATGAGAAGTTTCTGTTTTCTCTGTAATATAACTACACTAATCTGCACTATTTGTGTATTTATTTAATCATTCTGTGTGTCTTGAATGTTGTTATACAAAGAAGTGTCACTTGGTACCACACATTTTCTCAAGCCAAATCTTGAGGTGATCTTTAATAGAAAATTGATCAAGGATTGAGAAAACTGTAAAAAAAAAATCCACCTAAAACCCAAACACAAAACCAAACAAAAACCCCACGTAAATAAAACCTCAGGTTTTAGCTGCAGAAATACAGAACAACTTCTTTTTTGTGTGTGTGAACCTATGTGTTGTTAGCAGTTTCTAGATTCATAGAAGTGGAATAAAATGAAGATAGACTTGAATTAATGCTCTTTTTATCTTGCTATGTACTCCATTCTTATGTTTTAATAAGAAATGAAAATCGTGCAGGTAGCAAAAAAAACAGCACAAAATTAAGCAGATGGAGAAGAATATGTATTAAGCCCCAGTAAAC